ATCAGTGCTTCGTTCAGTTACGTATTGCTCACCAGGGGGCAGGAGTGCACCAGGGGGGCGGAGGTGTGCAGCAGGGGGGCAGAGCAGGGTTGCAGGGGGCAGGTGCAGCAGGGAGGCAGAGTGCACCGGGGCGAGAATGCCAGGAGGCAGGTGCAGGGGGGAGGCAGGTGCCGGGGGGTGAGTGCACCAGGGAGCAGGTGCACCGGGGGGAGGCGAGTGCACCAGGGGGAGGCGAGTGCACCAGGGGGAGGCGAGTGCACCAGGGGGAGGCGAGTGCACCATGGTCTCAAGAAGGAAGATGGCGGTACTCCAGTAGGTTTGGATGTCATGGTGTTGGCAGCTAACAGGTGTCATGGGATTGGTTGCAATGATTGGGGCGCCTCACCTGGCAACGTCACCTAAGCCAGGCGGGAGTGATCGTCTAGTGAGGAATGTAAGGAAGAACTTAGCGAACTTGGAGGACAGCGAATGTAACACCAAGAGAACAATGCGTATTTGCTGGAAACAAGCGACGTTATATCTCGCGTATGTGAGACCTCACTTGGATTATGCGGTTCAGACGGATATCGATTCCCTAGATTAAACAAAGGGTTAAACGTAGGTGATACCTAAAGTACCTTTGTTAAAAGGTACTTAAACTACCAGAAGCGAACTTCTAACAATGGTTTTAAATTAGACAAATTTAGATAGAGGCGTGAGACAGGGTTGGTACCGAGCACCACCATTAACTGGAACACGCCGAGAAGCTTCAAATATGGGTGTAAACGGGGCTGCCTAGTATAAGCCAAAAGGCCCGGTGCAGTTTCATCCATTCTTATGTTCTTACGACGAAGATTCACTGACCCGGTATGCAAATTTTTGTTTTTCTCCACCTTACATTTGGCTCAACACGTCATAAAGGATAATATAATCACCGCTGTGCAGGAAGTCATGACGTCACTACTGTAGCCAGAGATATATGGGCTACAATGATACAGTAGGTGAGAGAAAAATACATCGTGTGTAGGATAAATGAGGTAAATACATCGGTTACACTGATAAATATACAGTACATATATGAGAAAAAAACGTATTTATTTCACCACCTTTTCATGTTGCTCAGAGGAGTCGAGTGAAATGTAGCCTGAGTTGTCTGTTCTCTTACGCTCACTGCAGGCCAGCGAGTAACACACACACACACACACACACACACACACACACACACACACACACACACACACACACACACACAACTGACTGCACTCGTGGAAAGACTCGAATTAAATACCAGGTGTCAGTACAATTAGGCAGAGATGCTGTCGGCCTGTCGGGAGCAGTTCCGGTGTACGTCAGGGTTGTGCTATGGCTGTAGTCTTACATCTCGGGGATATTTATCGTAGGAAAGCTGTCTATCTGTCTGTCAGTTTATCTATCTGTCTAATTCATCCAGTAGCTGTCAGTTTGTTTGTTTTTTTCCCTCGGAGCTGTTCTTGCTGTCTCGCCATGTGTGTGTGTGTGTGTGTGTTTCTCTGGCTGGTTTGGTTAGGTTAGGTTATCATATTGGACTACGGTAATTTCAGAAGCTGTATGCACACACTCAAAAAACTAACAGATAAAATAATCACCAAGCGAACAAAAACACACACACACACAAACACACAAATGAACACAAAAACAAACACCAAACAAACACAATCACACAAACACTTCCACAAAGGAACACAAAAACACACTAAGAACACACAAACACAAATTACCACCTCCCCACCTCAAACATGAACAACCCTTCCCCCCCCAACTATCTCCCTCTCCCCTTCCCCCTCTCCCTCCCTCTCTCCCTCTCCCTCCCTCTCCCTTCTCCCTCTCCTCAGCAACACATGTCATTATCCATCAATTTGCTTGTCTAGATGGTGTGCACAAAATATTACCCCCTCAATGAGTGACCACGGCGCATACACACAACACTGAATGAGCCCCTCTCCTGGCGCTAGGTCGAGGGGGGTCACCCTGCTAAATTCTCTCCCAGACATAAGCCATATCTCAACCTGTCTACAGCTTAAATAAGTAAAATATATTATGTACAAACAATAGCTAAGTCTGTCTACAACTTGGTAATAAATAAAATAAAGATGACATTATATAAAGAGAATAAACTGGTAAGTACATTGAAGTTATTTATAATAAAATAGATAAAAAATAATATATACATAAATAGGATATATATAAAAATCTTATAGGTAAATATTATAAGACAAAGAGAAAAGTATAGAGGTATATGAAGTCTCTACGGAGGTAAGGTTTATGTAAAGAACTTGAGAGAATATATGTCTCGCCCTGACGATATATTTATATATATATAATAGTTAACGATTGATAGGTAAAGGATCGATAAATTTATTCTAATGGTATCTAAGTATTACCACTAAGACGTAAACATACCGTAAGTGACCAAGATCTTTGAAATATGCCGCCATAAAGCCTCTCTCTCTCTCTCTCTCCTCGTCTCATTACGTTGCCTTCTTGAGTCCGCCGGGGAAGACCAGGTGTTGAGTTCATCAGGTGATCATTAGGAAGCCTCAGGTAGGCCACACGTCGACGTCTAGCCTCACCGTTTACCGCGGCTTGGGGGAACATAACGAGGACTTCTTTTGTCAGACTGTGTAATCCCCGCTGCGCATTTCGTTAACCACCCAATTGCATTGTTAGCGTTTTTTATGAGAAGTTTGTGGACCTTAACGACTGTATTCGTAATTGCCGAGGGTTCCGTAGTTACACCCTCCCTTTACTAATTATTTGTAACGAGGTATTGTGTCATCCCCAGACGAGCATTCCTGACGTTAATGTGAATCGCCTTGATGCTGAGATGTTGTGGAGTACCTGTGGACGCGTTACCTTAGCTCGCCGGTCAGCACACGGGCTTATTAAAGGTATTCTTAGATTGTCAGGTGCGCGTGCGTTATTCTTACGTAAGAGGCGATGTTGTGACGGATCTCATCTGTTCACTACTTTTACGTCAGGAAAACATCGAGTAATTTTATACTCCAAGTTTGAGTGATGAGACGTGAGAGGAGGAAGAAAACCCTCTTACCTGCAGGAGCTTTCCAGATACACTGAAAGATTCTGGTAGTCCGAGACGCTGAAGGTTGGGGGTAGTCCGAGACGCTGAAGGTTGGGGGTAGTCCGAGACGCTGAAGGTTGGGGTAGTCTGGAGACGCTGGAAGGTTGGGGGTAGTCCGAGACGCTGAAGGTTGGGGGGTAGTCCGAGACGCTGAAGGTTGGGGTAGTCTGAGACGCTGAAGGTTGGGGTAGTCTGAGACGCGGAAGGTTGGGGGTAGTCTGAGACGCTGAAAGGTTGGGGGTAGTCCGGAGTACGCTGAAGGTTGGGGGTAGTCTGAGACGCTGAAGAAGGTTGGGGGGTCTCGAGACGTTGAAGGTTGGGGGGTAGTCTGAGACGGTGCTAGCGGTTGGGGGTAGTCCGAGATGCTGAAGGTTGGGGGGGTAGTCTGGAGACGCTGAAGGTTGGGGGTAGTCTGAGACGCTGAAGGTTGGGGGGTAGTCTGGAGACGCTGAAGGTTGGGGTAGTCCGAGACGCTGAAGGTTGGGGGCATCTGGACGCTGAAGGTTGTGCAGTCTGAGGACGCTAGCTGGGTTGGGGGTAGTCCAAGACGAGAAGGTTGGGGGGTAGTCTGGAGACGTTGAAGGTTGGGAGTAGTCCGAGACGAAGGTTGGGGGTAGTCTGAGACGCTGGAAGGTTGGGGGTAAAGTCCGAGACGTTGAAGGTTGGGGGTAGTCTGGAGATGCTGAAGGTTAGTAGTCTGAGACGCTGAAGGTTGGGGGGTAGTCTGAGACGTTGAAGGTTGTGGGTAGTCTGAGACGCTGAAGGTTGGGGGTAGTCCGGAGACGCTGAAGGTTGGGGGTAGTCTGGAGATTGAAGGTTGGGGGTAGTCTGGAGACGCTGCTGTTGGGGGTAGTCCGAGACGCTGAAGGTTGGGGGTAGTCCGAGACGCTGAAGGTTGGGGGTAGTCCGAGACGTTGAAGGTTGGGGGTAGTCCGAGACGCTGAATGTTGGGGGTAGTCCGAGACGTTGAAGGATAAGAATTAACACCAAAACACCGGTAACAAGAGCTGGTTGAGGATACTGTGTGTGTGTGTGTGTGTGTGTGTGTGTGTGTCCAGTGTTAGAGAAATAAACACTAATTAAGGTATTAGTCGGAAGTTATACATAGTTGTTTATGAAGAGTTAAACCCATACACCTGGTTCTGAATATCAAAAGGAATTATCGGTATAAATTTTGTCTTATTTATTATCGCAAGTAACATCTATTCCTTTTATATACGTTTCTTCGTCGCCATTATCCAACGCTTAATGTCAAGTATAATCCGTTTATCTTTTTTCGTTAGCAGTAAATTTGTCTTTTCTTTTGTATTCACTGAAGGCTTATTTACGTGTCATACAGCTGTCAAGGTGTTGTTGATAAATTGTCGTGGGTTGGCGGTGTACCTGTTGATGACGTCAAGGTGTATCTGAAGGTGTCTGATACGAGGCAGGCTGCGTGGGAGGAATGGGAGAGGGTTGTTCCCAGCAGAAGACAGCACAGCACAGGAGAGGGGTAACAGCATAGCACAGCACAGGAGAGGGGTAACAGCATAGCACAGCACAGCACAGTACAGGAGAGGGGTAACAGCATAGCACAGCATCATAGAAGAGGATAAGTAGAGGAGATGCCAGAGAGAAACCAGAGACTCTACCTGGACAAGTGTACCTGTGTGAACGAGGTGACTGAAGCTGCTCTCACGGTCACCTGCGGAAGTGTGACCCCTCCCCCCCCAGTGATACTCTGTCACTCACCTGGAGGGAACTATGATGATGATGATGATAATGATGATGATCGTGATAGTGGTGATGGTGGTGGTGATGAAAATGATGATGATGGTGGTGATAATGGTGATGGTGATGGTGGTGTATACAATCACCAAAAAGACAGAAAATAAAGTTGAAAAAGTTAAACACGTGCTTCCAATATCCAGTGACTACATACATACTGTTACGAGTTGGGGATTTAGAATATAGTTAAAAGTCTACCCAGATCCCAACAGGTAACAACAAAAAACAAAACAAAGACAATCGGACTATAAAAGGGTAGACAAAGGATGCGAGTTTTTGTTGTGTATAATAAAGTACCATAAATCCCTTAACAAAATATTCAGCTTTCTATAATTTACCCTTAACCATACTTAACCTAAACATTAACAGTATATACATATTTATACAACATACAACAATTCTAAAGCATGTGGAGGTGGGGAGGCAATATAAGGTTTACAATACCAAGGGCGGATGAGATGGTTGAACAGAGTGAGGCTGAATATTGTAGAAGACGGTAGGTAGTCATCAGGCTGCAGGGTTCCCAGGATAGGTGATCCTGTGGTCACTTCCCAGAGTGAACTCAACTCTCATCGAACTGGAGCTGACAAAGAAGACTTGAGGAGGTGACGCAACAACCAGGATATGGAGAAGGGAAACCCCGGAGTGGTAACTAAGACGAGTCATACTCGTGTTTCGTCCCTAGATGGCGTTGCTCGTGGTGCTGGGTAGGTAGATCAGGACAATAGATGGCGTTGCTCGTGGTGCTGGGTAGGTAGATCATGACAATTGATGGCGTGGTTCGTAACAACACATACATACATACATACATACACATACATATATATTCATGACACCTGCTATCAGTAATCTTGGTGTCATTAAAGATCTGTCACCACCACCTCCCTCACCACCTCACCCCACCCCCACCACCACCCTCCCTCCCTCATCACCACCACCCTCACCTCCCCGCCCCACCACCACCTCCTACCTCACCACCACCTCCTCCTCACCTCCACCACCACCTCCTCACCACCACCTCCTCACCACTCACCACCTCCTCCCTCACCACCACCTCCTCACCACCACCCCTCTCCCTCATCACCACCACCCCCTCACCTCGATATTATTGGTTTAGCTAACTGTGTCTAGAGAGCCTTCATTACTGTTCATTAACTCGAAGATAATATAACCACTTAAAGACCGAAAGACCTCACAAAAACCCGAACAAAACCAACATGTGGTGAGAAAGCTGAACTCCACTTAACGAAATCACTTAAATTCTTATCCTGTCTCTTGATAATAAAACCAGTTCGCACATGACTCTCGTTGGGTCGTAAAGAGAGTGAAGTATGTAACACCAGTTGTCATATACACTAAATATAAGCGAATAACCTCTATGATGAAAGAGGTGAACCAATAAGTGAAGGAGAGGAATATTCTTCGTTCGCTACTTCAGGTGTACTTGTTAAATGGTGACTTTGTAATGTTCAGGTGGTTTTTACCTGTGTGGGTTTTTTTTCTCTCTCTAGATTATCATCACGATTTTAATTAACACACAGATTCTCTTTATACACAGGTGTTATAGTTTTCAATTCCCTGTGTGTGTGTGTGTGTGTGTGTGTGTGTGTGTGTGTGTGTGTGTGTGTGTGTGTGTGTGTGTGTTCATGTTTTTCAGTTTTCTATAAACAGATTATTTCAAAATTGGATTGCCTGATTGTAAATAATGAAATTTGGACAGAGGTTGAACAATGTGTGTAGAGGATAACTCCAAATTGATAAAGTCGATCGGGATGAGAGATCTGACAGGTGTGTGTGTGTGTGTGTGTGTGTGTGTGTGTGTGTGTGTGTGTGTGTGTGTTGGGTAAGGATATCATTTCTCTCCAGTAAACAGTTAATATAAAGTCTGGATCATTTGTATTATTTTATACATAAGGCTTTTTTATCCTCATTAATTCCCCCACATAATTATATCCAGATAAATTACCATTGAATCGTATTTATTTTGAGAAAGATCCCATATTTTGATATAAGGTTGTGGGAGTTGTCGTATTTTTTTTTTGTTTAGCTTATTTTGGGTCTGAAATCCGTATTCTGCAATAATTGATGACAGTGTTCGTGTGTTTTTGCTTCAATTGTATTAGAGATCAATATTTTTTGATTAATTTTATGATAGTTTTTGCGTTTCTACGTTTTAATGTTTTTGTTTTTTTTGTTTTTGTTTTCCATGAATATCGTCTTTTGGGGGGAGAGAAGGTGGGCGAGGGGGGTGGGAGGGAAGGGGGCGAGGGGGGAGAAGGGGGGAGAGGGGGGGCTTACCTACATGAGAGGGATCTCAGGTTTTTGTTGTTGTGTTTGTTGTCGCTTACCGCTCAAAGGCCAGCCAGCAATGTATAGATCCAAGTAGATATGAACCTACCTGCCTTGCAGGCCACAACTCATGAGGTGGTGATGTTGATCTGGGAGTGATGTAGCTTTTGGAGGGGGGTAGATTTCCACTAGGTGTTTTGGTGTGTGTGTGTGTGTGTGTGTGTGTGTGTGTGTGCATGGGTGTGTGTGTGTGTGTGTGTGTGTGTGTGTGTGTATGTGTGTACAACTAGAGACCTCATGTTTTATTTGTATAGTACGATGGTTCCTCTGTTTTATGTTTGAATTACGAACTCAAAAATGTTTCTCGTAGTTCGTAAGTTATCATGGAAACGTTTCAATAGATTCCACAGTTTTAGTAAGAGAAAACAGTAGACAAAAACAAATAAAAGAAGAGAAAAAAAAGGATTATACAGAACACAAAATAAACATAAAAAGTATAAACGTTTGGTATCACAAGTACTGAAGTCTATCTTAAAGTATTACCAAGAAGGATTCAACTCTTTATCACGAAAAACAATCGAGATTTTAACCTGTGATCCACCAACCAACTCGTTACGATCAATTCACTTATACATGCTACAAATATCACCAACAAAAGCTATAATAATATCACTGAAAAAAGCTATATATCACCAATTAAAGGCTATACTAACTCCTATACTATCTCCAGCGAGGGTTATATTATCACTAACTAAAGCGAGTAGTGTTTAGGTCACCGTGAATGAACGATCCTCGATTCTCTGGGAAGATCAAGAACTGGTTTTGGCTTTGCTCGTTGAAGATTGACGACTGGTGGCTTTATCTGGGGGGGGGCGTAGTAAGTGTGGTCTAGCAAACTGCCTGATGGTGTGGCTGTACCTGGGTGATGGTATGAGACAGATGGTGTAGGTGCAATGAGAGTTGATGGTGTTGGTGAGGTTGAGGGTGTGGTGTGGTGTGGTGTTGGTGTTGGTGTTGAAGCTGGTCGTGTGGTGTAGTGGTGGTGGTGCGAGGGATGGAGGTAACCCTTGCTGTGTGATAAATGGTGTAGGATGGTGATTTATGGTCCGGTGCTGTGAAATATGGCGGTCTGCAGGGTAAAATGGCGCTGTGGAAGATGCTGTGCTGTGTAGGATTAATGCTGTCAGAAAGGGTATGGATGCTGTTGATATCGGCTCTGTGGTTACTTCATTTACTGGTGCTGAGATTGGCGCTTGCGACTGAAGCTGGATGTGGTGCTAGGAGTAGTGCTGGGACTAATGCTCTGATTGGTTACTTAGAGTAGTGCTGGGACTAATGCTCTGATTGGTTACTGAGTAGTGCTGGGACTAATGCTCTGATTGGTTGCTGTGGTGCTGGGACTAATGCTCTGATTGGTTACTGTAACTAACTGACCCACTCCTCGTCTGGACATAACACACAGTATTACCCTCACCTGTCCGTCTAATCAACAGCAATAACAATATCCACCTGTAGATACACAACATCTAACACACACACACACACACACACACACACACACACACACACACACACACACACACACACACACACACACACTCACTCGTACATCGACCCTCATGAATAACTGGACACCATAGGACGTATTTCTGGCCTCTTTCAACCTTGGTTAGAGGTTCCATGAGTTAACCTTTCTTGTTCAGGGTACAAAAACGGGGCATCGTTAATTAACACGGTAACATATTCTAACCTGTTAAATCAACCACTTTAATTACATATATCATAAATAATAATACGTTCACATACACAATCTTTTTTCTTTATCTCAGAATGTTAAGATATATTATGAGTATATTATCCTTCAATATATAACAGATGATATATGTATTATACTTAACACTCAGGTTAATAACGACGTTAAGGTATTACCAAGTGGTGATGGTGGACCTCAAGTTGTACCTTCAGCATCTTAAAAGGCTTGACGTCAGCCTTCATAAGGTTTGTTCCCCCTGTCATTGTTTACTGAGTTTTAATAGTATAGATTTCATTAAACTTTATTAAATCCTAAGATAATAAAATTAGCTGACACGTGGGAGGGAAAAAAAATAATCATCAGTAATTTCCGAAGGTTGGTGTTCGTTCGTGCGGTACGAGGGGAGGAAAGCTTAATCTTGCTCAGGGAAGCTTGAATCTTACTCAGGTAGACAGCTTGAAAGTCTGTGTCGTGGTTAAGATTGGTAACGGGTATTAAGTTATGGTGGATAGATTCCTGTTCTCGCTGTTCTATTTGTTCAGTATTGGTGATTTCTCTCTTATTCTCTCATTTTCTCTTTCTGTATCTCTCTCTCTGTCTTCTCCTTTCTCTTACGCCTCTCTCTATCTCTCTCTCCTCTTCTATCTCCCATTCATTGAGAGACTGACAAAATAGCTTCCAAACCAATTTCTCTAACTAATAAAAAAAACCCACATATTAAATATTAATCTGTAAATGAAAAATTATATTAACTGAAAACATCTTCAATAATTCTTCATAAATTCTGCCTGCTCCTCCCGCTCAAAAAGAAAAAAAAATATAATAATTCGTATAAGTTCATGTGTCAAGCGGAATAAAATTGATGGGTCTAATGCTTTAAAATTGTTAGAGAGTAAAAACACGAGACCCTAAGTTGTGTATATAAATTTCAGGAGATTATAATTGATTTCGGGATGTGCCACAAGGTGTGTTTTAGTCGTTCAATTGCATCCACTGAGGTAATTTAGTCGATGTGGTTCCTCTTGTTGTGGTTCGTCTTGTTGTGGTTCGTCTTGTTGTTGTTCGTCTTGTTGTAGTTCGTCTTGTTGTGGTTCGTCTTGTTGTTGTTCGTCTTGTTGTGGTTCGTCTTTGTTGTTCGTCTTGTTGTGGTTCGTCTTGTTGTGGTTCGTCTTGTTGTGGTTCGTCTTGTTGTGGTTCGTCTTGTGGTTCGTCACCATCACTATCACCAAACACACCACCTCCCCCACACACCACCCCTCCCCAACACACACACCACCTCCCCAACACTCCCCTTTACCTCCCCACACACACCCCCAACACCTCTCCCCACACCACTCCCCAACACACCACCTCCCAACACCACCTCCCCCAACACACACCACCTCCCCACACACACACACCACCTCCCCCCAACACACACCACCTCCCCAACACACCACCACCTCCCCAACACACCCTCCCCAACACACACCACCTCCCAACACACACCACCTCCCCCAACACACACCACCTCCCCAACACACACACCACCTCCCCCAACACACCACCTCCCCAACACACCACCTCCCCAACACACACCTCCCCAACACACACACCATCCCCCAACACACCACCTCCCCCAACACACACCACACCTCCCCCCAACACACACCACCTCCCCCAACACACACCCTCCCCAACACCCCCCCAACACACCACCTCCCCAACACACCACCTCCCCAGCACCACCTCCCCCACTCCCCAACACACACCACCCCCCCAACACACCCACCTCCCCAACACACACCACCTCCCCCAACACACACCTCCCCAACACACCACCCCCTCCAACACACACCACCTCCCCAGCCACACTCCCCCAACACACCACCTCCCCCAACACACCACCACCCCCTCCCCAACACACCACCTCCCCAACACACACCACCTCCCAACACCTCCCCACACACACCACCTCCCCAACACACACCACCTCCCCAACACTCACACACACCACCTCCCCACACACCACCCCCCAGCACACACCACCTCCCCAACACACCCACCTTAACACCCCACCTCCCACACACACCTCCCCAACCACCCCTCCCCACACACCATCCCCACACACTCACACCACCTCCCCAACACACACCACCTCTCCACCCTCCCCAAACCCTCCCCAACACACACCCACCACCACTCACCACCTCCCCACACACACCACCTCCCCAACACACCACCTCCCAACACACACCACCTCCCCAACACACACCACCTCCCCAACACACACCACTCCCAACACCTCTACACACACCACCTCCCCAACACCACCCCCAACACCTCCCACACACCACCTCCCCAACACACACCCCCCACTCCCCACACACCCTCCCCACACCCCACCCCACACCACCCCAACACACCATCCAACACACACCACCTCCCCCAACACACACCCCCCCAACACACACCACCCCACACACACCTCCCCAACACACCTCCCCAACACCACCTCCCCACACCACCTCCCCAACACACCACCTCCCCAAACCACCCCTCACACACCACCTCCCCAACACACCACCTCCCCAACACACACCACCTCCCCCCAACACACCTCCCCAACACACCTCCCAACACACACCCCCCCCCAACACCACCTCCCCCAACACACACCCCTCCCAAACACACTACAACTAACACACTTCTTGTTCTTTTTACACAAATAAATAAATAAATGCAAACTAATGATACAATTAGAATAATAATAAGATAGATAAGTAGATAGATATTTATTCAGTATAATCATCATACAAGTTTGTTGTCGTTCGCGCGCGTACATACAACAGTACAGGTAAACAAACAATGGTAAACATTACCTGTAATTTAACCAAGAATAGTTGCAGGAGACCCAGGTAATATATGACTCATCATTTATAGATTACTGATAAAGTTATACCAAAATAAAATAAGTATTCTAAACAAATATTCGTCTTTGAAATATTGAAAAAAGTTATGAATTTAGGTATAAAAATCGTCTCCCCATAACACAATCGTAAAAGTCTGCCTCTTTTCTCCATCACAGAAAACGGAGCTGGATGCTGAGGGCTGGGAGATGAGAAGGCCACCCGGCCCGCCTCTCCCCTCTCCCCCCCTCCCCTCCCCTCTCCTCCCCACCCCTCCCAGTCCCTTGTCTCTGCTCACCGACTCGTAAGACACCTGTTGTGGGTTGCATCCTGGGGAACGGTGTAATGCATTAACACCTGAGAAACACCTCTCAAAGACGAAGGACTTGTGTCTTACCTGGAAGTGTACCCCAAAGAAGCCCTCACCGTGTACCCAGTTACTGTAGATGCTCACCTGCTCAGTCAGTACACCCAGTCAGATACTCCTACAGTCGATAAATCCAGTCAAATTCTCGCCTGCTTTGTTAGTTCATCCAGTCTGATGCTCGCCCAGTTAGATTCGATACTCCTCCTTTCTGAAGAACCAGTTATGGACTCCTCCTGTCGTAACAGTCACATAGCTAAATGAATCATCGTCCTACCAGACTCAGTTAAACAGTCAGTCGACCTGTTAGAAAGCCAGTCAAATATATAACCAATCAGCTGAGTAACCTAATTGGTCATCCAGCCGGCCAATCAGCTTTCAGTGGGAGGTTAGATATAAATAGCATTGCTCAAACTTTAGTAGATAAGAAATATATTTATAACAACGAAAGAGACAAGGACAAGGTCAGTGTGTGTGTGTGTGTGTGTGTGTGTGTGTGTGTGTGTGTGTGTGTGTGTGTGTGTGTGTGTTTGTGTGTGTGTGTGTGTGTGTGTGTGTGTGTGTGTGTGTGTGTAGTAGTAGTAGTAGTAATAATAATAATAATATATCATGTGTGCATGTGTGTGTAATGAGTGAGAGAGGTCGAGAGAATGGCAGAGAAACTATATAATAAAAGAGAGAGAGAGAGAGAGAGAGAGAGAGAGAGAGAGAGAGAGAGAGAGTATAACAAGAAAAAGAGTGAATGGGGTATGGAGAAAGAGACAGAAAGAGTGATTGTAAATAAGAAAAGAGATAATGATAAAGAGAGAGAAAATGGGAGATGTATACAAGTAGTAGTTTTTTTTTAGTTTAACAAATTTATTGACAAAGCTTGTAGTACAGTTTGCCTATTGTGAGTAATTCAGTCAGGTCTTGACACTGAGGGTGGTATCACTTCTCACTGCCACGCAGGACAGAGGTTCATACACAAAGAAATACAACATATTCATTAACAGTATATGTAGAAGTCAGATTAGGGCAGTGGGTAGGGTCTGACAGAGAGAGAGAGGGGGAGGCAGTTAAGCTAGATTGTGTGTAAGGGGGGAGGGGGGGTTATGGTGGTGGTTTTGTGTGTGTGGGGGGGGTTGAGTGGGGGGAGAGTTGAATAGGCATACCCATTTTCTGTGGTGCGGGCATATCAAAGCACGGGAGAGGGCAGGATCGTCGGGTAGCGGGGCCTATACCCAGGCTGGGCACAACGAGCAAGCCCTCCCGCCCACCCACCCTCCCGCCCGCCGCCCCCACCCCCCCTGCCCTCCCTCCGTCCTTCCTGAGTCCGAACTGCTTCTCCATTCCTGTCTCGCTCTAATCTCTCGCTTTAATTTTCTTTACAGTCTCTTCTCTTTTTTTTCTTTTTCCTTCTGGTTATCTGGGAATTGTTTTCATTCGTTTTTATTCATTATTTATTGATTCTTCTTTCCTGTGGTTCATTACTGACGTATTTTTAAAGATTTGTTTCATTGTTTCTTTAATAATCTCTTCTCTTTAATGCTCTTACTTATAATTTCTTCTATATTGTTCTTAATTATATTTATCTCTCTTGTTTTATTTATTCTTTTAAGTCATTTAGCTGTCATAGTTTTTTTTACCTTCTGAATATATTCATTTTTCTCGTGTTTCTTACAAAATGTTTCCTGTGATTCTACTTCTTTTTTTGGGGGGGGGAGGGGAGGGGGTGGTGGTAATTAACCACTAATTACCCCGCAATACACCTGTACTGAGATTCTGAACAAAATTACCAAAGATGAGATTTTTTCGGGCCTGAAATTACCAAAAAGTGACACATTGAAAAATCACAGACGGCGAGAGTAATTAGCGACATTTTTGTAGAAAGTGAAAGTACATCATATCAGGTACGTTATGTTATGTTATATTAGGTCCAGGGAATGGAGATTTCTGATTGGTCAAGGGAATGTAGATCTCTGATTGGTCCAGGGAATGGAACTCTCTGATTGGTCCAGGGAATGGAGAT